TACATTATTTTTTTAATGAAAATGATGTCAAATAATCGTACATTATTATACGAAATATTTAGAAATGAAATAATTCGAAATTAATTTATATATGAATTTCTAAAATGAATTTGAGAAAAATAATGGACATGGTTCAATTTAATTTAATTTTAGGTATTTTTTAAATGATTAAATTAGATTTCCGAATATGGATTTTTGACCATATTATGGCATTCAATATTTCTACACATACTCGTTAGAATATTAATTGGTTTTAGATGAATTTTTATAAAATTTTATACCTAAGTTTTCTTTTATGTGATCTTATCATTTCTTATGAATCAAGGACCTTATACGAAAATGCCCACTATGCTAATAAACTAAAAGTGTTAAGAACATTCATAGCACTTCGAATGTAGGTCAATGCTAATACTCTTGGTCTATCTAGGTCTTGGGTTGGGGTGTTCCATATAGAAGATAAAAAAATAAAAATAAAAGAGATAAATAATATGTTAAAAATACCAAACACTTAGAACTGAATATAGAATAGCCTTCTCATTAGGACGATAAAGGGATTTTGTCATTGGATTTTGCTTTGGAAATCACCTTCAATTAGTTTAAAGATTAAATTGAGTTTCATTAGTAACCTTTGAAGTGTTGTGATCGAAAGGGAACATGAAGCAATCTTCTTCACTTTGCTAATAGATCTTAGGCTCTTTCTAAAACTTAATAGCTAATTTAAATTGTATGTTGATCCTCTTATCACCCATGCTCGAAACAACATGACTGTATTGTTTAGTTAAGGTTTCCTTTAGATTTGACTTGCCTATGATATTTATCAAGTAAAAGACACTATACTCTAATTTCAAACCATTTTTTGAATAGGATAAGGTCTATCTAAGTCTTAATAAGATCCCTTCGAGTCTAGTAAATCATAATAAAATCACTAAGACTATTAAGAATGATAAGTGATAAGTATGAAAAATTATCGATTACCATCACAATAATGGCGAGTAGTAAAAATACCTAAGATTTTGTGAGTGTTTATCGATGGCAAAACCCATCCGGGCACAACTACTACCTCTTTGAGTCCCGAAGTAAGTGTGTGACACATATTAAACATAGTGAGTGTAGTGTGTGCACATGCATTATTCCATAATCTATCCTAAAAAAAAATTACCAAAAAAATTACACAAACTAAGTTTTAAATCATAAATGAAAATGAAAGCATTGATGGATCATGCATCCTATAGAGGTGCGGAATAAACAAAAACTTTCTTCCATGTAAAGGGTCCAAGATCATGTTGTTGAATTAACTAACTATATATGCATGAATTAAAGCAATGAATAGAGAATTACCTCTTGTAACACGGTTCTAAATTCTTCGAGTAAAAGGTGTCCAAATGTTCGACCTCTATTGATGATACACATAATCCAAGCACTCAAAATTGGTAGAGTGCTAGCTCAACATTTTCTCGATTTGTTTGGTCTTTACTATAGAAATCTAATCTATGTAATTTTGTGACAACCTTAAAAAGAGGGAGAGAAAGTGACGTGCTAGGGGTTTTTAGGAGAAAACTATTTTCTCCTTTTTTCCTTTCTTGGTTGTGTGCCCTAAATCCTTTTTCTTTGTTGGCCGAATTCGCTCTTTCTTTTTTCTTATATGTGTCACTCCTCTCTCTCTCTCATATATTTATAAAAGAGACTTCTTTGTCCTCCACGGATAAGGAGGGGTGGCAATGAGTCCCTTAAGGACTCTAGGTTATTATTTCCTAATCCTCCAAGGATTAGGAGTTATTTTACATATGGGTTTTTTTATCTTTATCTTTAAAATATTCATCCCGATCCAATAAGGTTGATGTTTATCCCTCCATCAAAATATCTTAAGGCTTTTAATTAAACCTATTAGGCCAAAACCATTATGTCCTAATTTATTTATTTGGACTATCCAAATAAATAATCTTAGATAATTTTAGGCGGCCCACATTCGAAAGAAATTTTTCAAAATACCCTTTAACCTAAATTAGGAAACTCATTTTCATTTTGGGTTATTTACTTTCAAATTTGGAACCAAATTTCAAATTAGGAAACTAATTTCTAAAATATGAAACTTTCTATTTTAAAAAAATTTCATTTAAGTAATCTTTCCATTTTAGAAAACTTTTCATTTTTGGAAACCTTTTCCAAAATAAGAAACTTTCAAAATTGAAAACTTTTTCCAATTTCTTTGCTTCTCTTTAATCATGTGAATACTTAAACTTATGAGTGTGACTCAATAGATTCATAGATACGTTGGCAATATATCAAGAAGAAAAGACACATCTTTTATCTCTTGATACATAAATCAAGATTGACCTCTAACAAGTCATCATGACTATTCAATTCTCTAAAAGGATTAATTAATCCATTATTATCTTTCACGAGCATGATTATCATACAATTTATTCCTTATGTCAATTTATCATAGTGTGACCTCAAATTTAGTTATAAGCCTTCTTCGATTATGATCACATAAGTTTTCTTTGATTCCTAAATGTCTTAGCTACTAAAGTCAACTAGCTATGCTTTATTGGTGTATTCTTACTATGGATTTAGATTTTTTGAACGAGATATTTATCGAAGTGTAACGTATAACTCTTTTAGCATACAAAGAATGCCATGCCCTATCTTAGTCGGACACCTACTTTCATTAGATTCCTAGTGCACCCAACGAATCGTCAATGTGCAACCCTTTACTAGATCCATCGAAACGAGTGTCAAGGTATATAAATCATCTAATGAGATAACCATGATGACTTCAAGTTTAAGAACTACTTGTACTTATCTCATATGAGATTTTCATAGACTAAACTAAATGGATTCTTATGACGAGTCAAGTCTAGTGACATGTTCTCTAATAAAAATCACCTAAGTGCTTACTTTAGTATCACTATGTCAATAGGTGTGAGATCTCTTACTCGCTATCATATAGTATGTATAGTACTTACAAGTCTATTCGCATATAGGTAATGTCTATTATTGATAATGTTATAACTTGGAACGTTTTAATGATATCATTTATATGCATTAGTGTTTGTCTCACATATTTCGATCAATCACTATTGTAAATGCATATCATAAGGACTTTTATCTAATTCTACTAAATTAAGAAACACAAAACATAAGAATTAATAGAAGGACTTTATTATTATTATTAAAATAAATTATACAATAACTCAAACCTATCCAAACATGGTTTGATCTTGGGCACCTATACAAAAAAAAAAAAAAAAAAATCATAAACATATTATTACCACACTAATTGTAGGTCAAGCTATTAGAGGGCCTACAACTCTCATATAGAGGGTTACACGACATTGACCATGCTTCCCAATATGTTATAGAGGGCTGCAACCAACTATACATTAGGAGATATATAATGAAACACATATATATAAACATATTATTATGGGATTCCACCTTTGAAAAGTAGTCGGATGATATGTTTGAGAGGCTATGAAAATATAGTATTATTGTTTTGATGGATATTGAAGACATATTATTGTTCTTATTGTGTTCTAAGCTCAGCATCCCGAAAGACCTTCAAAACCTCCCTCATGGCATAAAGGCATGAATGTGTAACAACAATGGCAAAAGTTTGGGTAATTGGTTGAACAAGTCAGCTTACTTGGTAGAGTTGGTTGGACACCAATGCAAACTTCATGGTTTGGAAGATTGTTGTTATTCTTAGCATTAAGCATGTTGACATTGTGATTAAGATCAAGCAAGGTGTCATTATTACTACAAATGGTTGAATTGGTGGCAAGATTAATATTCATCTTAATAGTCTTAGAAGGGGCTATTATTATTTTTCAATCACTCACTTCCTAAGGAAAAATGTATGGAGGGTTCTTAAGAATTGATAGACGACTAATTAGTAGGTCAATCAACATACGGAGAACTAGTGTTATGGCTTGCGGAAGAAGTAGTCAACCAACCAACCGGAAATGATACAAATGAAGATGGGTGTGGCGGGAAGAGGAGACAATGCTAGCATACATAAGTCAAGTGGTCGGTAGAAAAGATATAGGTAGTGCAAGCCGATGGAGTTTTAGATGTTGCTTAGTGTGATTGAGAGAGCTTTGAGAATGAGAGTTCAACACTTTATTTTATTATTATTATTTTTTTTTGCTAGAGATGAAAAGTTAGAAATTCTTCATACGAGTGATATGAGATTGGTATTTATAGTGAATTAAAGATGCTTTTTGACTACTAAAATCATATCACGTCATCTAAGTTTGGATGGTCAAGTATTAATTGAAGAAACTAGGTTCTTTTGGACTAAATTATTTCAACTTGTAAGCAAAGGCTAAAAAAAGAATAATTTGGTCTTTTTTAGTAGACCCTACTCCAAGCTCATTCGACCAATCTTCCGAATGCATATCAAACACAAAACATAGACATTAGCTTTATTAGAATACATTTATCCATCCTCACATGACCTAAGGCCTTGTATAAGATGACATCCATTTTTAATCCAATCCATATGTTATGTTCCTCGAACCCATATCAAAACCAACAAAAATTATATATATTAGGTCATAATAAATTAGATAAATTATTTAATTAATTTTAAGAAAAAACAAGCATATACATATTATTGCCATACTAGTAGCAAGTCAAGCGAGTTGGAGGGCTACGACTCTCGCATAAGGGGTTGCACAATGTTGACACATGTCCATGCTTCCCGATATGCTATAGGGGGCCTCAACCAACTATTCATTAGGAGATATATAATGAAAAATACATATACACATACACACTAACATAATAACACAAAAATATAATAACAGACAACTATATTTCTAGCTTGATTTTGTAAAGAATTTATTGTTTTATTATTGGTTAAAAAAAATACACATGATTGACATAAGGTTGCAAAACATGCAAACATATGAATGCCTTCATAAGTACTAATGCTTTTGTTTCGCATGACGTACTCCTGGCGTTCTTGGACTAGAATCTTTTCCATGTGCAATAAAATGCTTGGTTATCCCACTTCCTTGACCTTCGCTTTGCAGCTGAAGGTTTAGAGGTACTAAAATGCTCAAACGAAATATGACCTCGTCCTGGACTTGGAGCTGAATATAAATGATTACCTTGTCCTGGACTTGGTCCTGAGTATAAAACATGATGAATGTTAGTAAAGCTTTCATCCAATTGGCCTTTCTTTATTGATCCCACGAAACCTTGCTTAGAAAAATAAGATTGTTTCTTTCCTAAAACATTTGCTAGTGCTTTCTCCCCATACATAATATTCCTAGCCCTTGATTCAGAAATTGAAGAAATGATACAAATAATAAAAAATAAAAATATCAATCTTAAGCAAGCCATTTGAAGAATGTTGTCAAGAAAGATCAATGAGATTGCTTAATAGTCATTGATCCGTTCCAATTACTGTATATAAGGTACCCAAGGATGTCCTTTTTCAAATAAGAAATTTACAAATGATTGTGGATCCTAGGCCTTGATAAAGAAATCTAAGAAATAAGGAAAAAAAGGGAGGTATCCATCCCAAGTAAGCCATTTAAAGAATGTTGTTAAAAAAAATCTATCAATTAGATTGCTTAAAGGGATTTGATCAAATCCAAGAATTTTATATAGGGATTCCATGGATGTTAAATTAATAAGGAAAACCAATCAAATCTAACTATTTAAAAGAAAAAAATGAAGTTATTAATCATATATATACATATATATATGTGTGTGTAATTGATTCTAATGAATGTTTACTAAATTACAAAAGGCTTTAAAAGACATGGAGTTTTAACTGTTTATAGATCGTTCATTGTGACATAATGGGCTGTTCATTAAGACTCAGCCACACTGTGTTCATCCTATTGATCAGCCTGCACTGTTCGATCGTTGTATTGTTATTGTTAGCGTTCTTTCAACGGTTGAATCTCCCATAGGATGTGTTTTACAAACAATTTAAATGTTTCATTTGCATTCATTTTGGGTCCCTGTAAACACCACTTTTCATCCACATATTTTCTGCATCTTCAGTTTTTATTCTTATGAGTTGTTTTTTCGCCTTCTCTTTATTTACGTTTTCTGCCATTGAGTGGTTCTGTTATTACCTTATAGCCCTTTTTTCTTTAATTTTTCTATGCAACTTACATGCCTTTTTTTTTTTTTTTTTTTTAACTTCCAGAACCATTATTTGAGCATTTAATGCACCTTTTTGAGATGTTCGATCCTTGTCAACATTGTTTATTTGGTCCTTTGTTTTTCTATGTGTTAACTTTTTGTCCCTCTAAGCTTGGGTTTTCTGCCTCTTTCTTTCTATTTATTTACCTCATGTGCCATTTCAATGGGTCTGTAGTTACCTTTTTACCTTTCATTTGTATTTTTTTTTATTTCCTGCTTTTCAAGACATTTTTTTGTCATTTTCTTATTCCATTAGCCAAAGCATTTAATTCTTTTGTTTTCTGCTTTTGCGTTAACTTTGACTTGCTAAACTTTCTGTTTGTTTATCTGTGAAAAATAATGACCTTTCATTTTAAAACTAACAAATATGTACCATTCATGTCAAGTATAAAATATTGCTTTCTCTTTCCTTGTTTGGTATTCTTTTAATTACCCATCCTTGGTTCCTCTCTCACGAATGCAATGACAGAACTAGAAACACATTTTGCTCCTAGTTTTTTTTGGTTCGAAGAATTTAAATTTAAAATTTAAAATTTATATGTTTGAGTTCAAGATCAAAAAAATTAAGGTGAAATTCTTAATACATTCTCCTTATGTTTTTTCTAGTGTTTAGGTTCTCCAATTCATACTAAAATTTGTTGATGAGTATTGCAATTTATTGTTATGGTATTTTTTTTTAAAAAAAAGATGGATAGATGAAAAGCAGTTTAACCTTCTTCTTCGTGCTTTCTCCAACGAAACTAGAGGCTTTAGAAACTCAAAATCCATAAAAAAAAAAAAAAAAAAAAAAAAAAAAAAAAAAAAAAAACCTATCAATCCTTGACACAGAGGAGCAACAATTTTTAATAACCAAATAGCAAAACTCAACTAAAAAAAAAACGGATCCTTGATGGGTAAACAAATCAACAATGGATCCTTAAGGGATTCAGTTCCCACAAACGATTTCTCTTTTTATAATCTGTTAGGAAGACCAGCCAAAGGGTCTATGGAGGTAAAAGGATGATGTGGCTAGGTTGAGGTGGGTCTGGTGGCTGTTGGGTTTGCGAGAGAGGACAACGAGGAGGGTGTTGGCACTGCTGGGTCTGTGAGAAAGGATGGCAAGAGGGTAGTGGACTCTGCTAGGATGGACAATGTGGAGGTGGCAGTGGGTGGCTGGATGTTTGAGTTCCTTTTTTTTAACTTGATTTTTTTGGATTCTTTGGAAAAAGAGATAAAATTTAAGTCTATCAGCTGCCTGTTTTGTCCAGTTATTGAGCTAGATTGCACAAATGAAGATGACATTTTTAATATATATTTTCCCATGCTTTTGCTAGGATGTAGGTTCTTCTATCCAGGTTTGTTGATGAGCATTGCAATTTATTGTTATTACGATTTGTTTAATTTTTTTTATGAACATGGACAAATGCAAAGCAATACAGTTATGGAGCAAAAATATCAGCCCCAACTCCTGATTTTGATTGGTTAGGCAGTGGAAGCAAGAGGCAAGCTCTTCTGATTCAAATAAGTGAAGCAATAGTGGTGCTAGGCAGCCTCATTCAGGCACTATTCTCTTGTGCAGTGGTTGCACTAATGACTGTAATCTACACATTGACAGGCGGGGTGGCGATGGCTCAAAGTCCATCTGGTCATCATCTAGGAAGAGACTAATTGCTTTGACTGAAAATTTTTTTATTAAACCAAGCAAACTAACCTGTTATATTTTGCACCAACTAGCAGTTTGCAGTCTTTCCTTTTCCTTAATGTAAGCGAAAATTTGAAAAAATTTTAACTACATTATATTGTCAAAGGACTACTAAATAGTGTTAAAAAAAAGCTATTTTACCATATTTATTTTATTGATTTTTTAATGATTTTTAAATTTTTATTTTTTGGGTTATATTAAAATATTTCATAAACTTTAGACATAAAATTAAAATTTGCACCAAGTGAAACAAAAATAAAAGATATAGGATATAATTGAAATAAATCAAAAGTTTTAATAGAATTGAGAAAACACCCAAAATTTAGGGAAAACAGATTAAAATTTACCCTTATAATAATGTCAATCCTAATTTTTCTTCGTTTACAGCACTGCTTTCTTTTGGAGGATTAAAAGTGCCTTTTGTTTTGTTTTTTTTTTTTTTTTTGGAGAATTCTTCAATCCGTTTGGTAATTGAAATTTGAATGTGTGACCCAACATTCAAAATGAAATCTATTATATAAAAGACTGATGCGTTATAAAAAGGTTAAGGAAATTTATCAATAATTATTTTAGTTTTAGAATTCTAAAGCATAATTATATCACATTCATGGGTTTGAAGTTATTATAAGAAGATGATGCTGTATGGTCTTTGTAATTGTTAAATATAATTTTTTATTGGTTAAATTCTATGGCATGTATTAGCAAATGTCAAAGGAATAAATATGTTGTCTCTTACATGAGTTTGGCCCTATACTTTGATTATTTCTTTGTAATAAGTAAAATTTTCCTAGAAAATGATAATTTTAGCCCCACAAGTATTTTTAATTTGATGATTATGATGATTTTATTGTTGAGCCAATCTATTTCTTTAAAATCATTTTTTTTTTCATAAATGAAGTTTCATTTTTTAATTTGCTAAATAGACCCATATTGATGATGTGATGTAATTTTAAAGGAGGGCTATGTAATGTGAATGAAAAATACATGAGATTTGTTAGAGGGGAGGCAAAGTAGTCTAATATAATATAAGTAATTCTAGAAAAAAAATGATGTGGCCAATAATCTAAAAAAATGGCACCCATCTTCCATAAGGTTGAGGTTTCTATACAAATGACATTTATTAAACTCATATTAACACTTAACATTAAAAAAAAAAATCATAAATATTGTACTATCAATATTCATGGAGCTATTCATTGAGACTCAATTTACTATAAACCAAGACTTATTTCTATTATGCTTGTTGCTTCTTTTTTGGTGGTTGGCTAGCAAGTTTAAGTGTTTTTTGTTTTTTTTCTAATTTTTTAAATTTGTTTACATATACTCGTTTAATAAGTCATTACCGACTTTTTCATACAACATTAATTTATAACATGTAAATATTACATGCCACTTTTTATCTATGTTGTTTTTTTTTCCGAAAAACTTGCAACATATCATCCGTTATTTGACGAGACAACCATAAGTGAATACCAATGAATTACTCATCAATATCTAAAAGCACATATTTTCACTATAATTCATACATGAAAAAAAGTTCCCATCGAATAAATAAAAAATATTATAAATGTAGAAATGTCCATTGATATTCTAAATTATTGGATAAAACATTTTAGCGTTTACTTAACAATTTTTATTTGACTCAACTCACCCCTATAAATAATATTCAACAACCTATGGCGTAGTGCGAGATGCTAACTAGTATGCTCTAATTTATAGATCTTGTTGGAAAAATTCTATTTCCCATATATATATATATATATATATATATATATATATATATTAAATGTGATATGTGTTGAATTTTTCCTACACTTTTTTTACTCAATTAATTATTTCAACTATTCTTTTTTTTTTTTTTTTTTTACCATACCCAATTAACTTTTTCATTTTTCATTTTTTTTTTAACACTACTTTTTCTTCTCCAACTTAACACAAAAAGACATATAGAAGTCAACAACTTAGAGGGTAGATAATGACAATATATATATATATATATATATATAATAGAGAGAAATCACCTTTTTCAATATTTTAATGGAAAACTATGCTCTAACGTTTAATATTTAATGGAAAAATAAGAAAAATATTTTTTCTAATCCTATTGGGAAAGAACATTCGATCATAAACTATGTCTAGAAACAAGAATTCTTTGATTCAACAAAAATACCCCATTATTATAAGTAAAAAATAAGTAGTGTGGTTGGTATATTATATTATTTAATTTAAAGATTTCTTATAAAATTTTTTATTAAAAATTTCAAACGAATTCAATGTTAAAACTTGATTAGGATTGTGAAACAAATTCTTTTAATGAAACATGTTATATACATCAAAATATGAATTCTAGAATGTCCGGATTCTCATTTTCTTTGATAATGATTATTTTATTAACTATTGTTTATCTTGCTTTGAATAAAGCTCGAATCTCAAAATTATGCATGAAATTATGAACTTTCTCTTTGTTATACCCAAATTTATTATAGGTTTTGACTCAATAAATTGAATAGAAAATATAGACAAAACTCATTAAGTTATTTAATGGATTCTACTTCACTTTCTTCTTGATTAGTTCCACTCAAAGCCCATTAGATATTTTCTATTTTAAAAAATAAACTCATTCCTAGCCTATAAAACCCAACAGGCATACTTGGCCCAATAAAACAACCTATATGAGAATATTTTCATCTAGTCGGTGAGAGTTAAACAAAAGATGGATTCTTAACAAGGTAAATTCATGGAAAAAAACATGAGAAAAAAATCATGTTTTAAGAGCGAGAGTTATCAACAAGTAATTAGTGTAAAGAAAGTTGAAGAATAACAAAATTCTAACAAAAATGATTCAAACCATTAGAAGCAATGTGAGATATTACAACATGAGAATAGCATAATAGGACAAGGAACATGGTGCATTGCAAAACAAGAATTGAAGATTATAGAGCAATATATAGTCTACTAAGAGAGATTATGGAGGATAAAAAATCTTATAAATATTAACTACAACAAAAAGAAGAAAACGCATAAAATACAAAAACAAGAAAAATCCTTACAAATTTCAAATAACTCAAAGAGAAGTTTCACAAGTTTCGACACTTGAAACTTGTTAGGGAGTAGATAGTAATTTGCAAGATGTAACTTATAGTTAGTAATTCATAGGTTATAATCAAGTAGTCAATAATTTGTAGGGTGGGAGCTAGTTCTTGATTCTCTACTCGTGCTTGAAACGATCGTCATCCAAAGTTTCTTATAGATTTTTCATGACCGGAGTGCCAACTTGTGAATATTTGCCATTTTTTTTAATATGAGTGTTATTTCCAAAATAAAAGTGCTATAAAGACTATAACATTGCTTTCTCTTAAGCATTGATTGATACTTGTAATTACTGGATTTCTTTATGTTTTGATCATTTAACTTCTTCGTTTTTAATTTATTTTTGTTATTCTGATTGCATATTAGCATAAAAAGCTAAATTATTAGTTTAAATCATTTTTTATTTTAAGTTGTTATCCTTGCAATCTTATAACCTAACTAGCTTGGGGTTGTGATTTCTTACTTCGGGTTTTAGATTAATCTAGTTCTCTTATAACATAAAATATCAAAAAAATTATTATAATTAACAATAATTTTATTTTGAAATGTTAATTTGATTCATCTACCTACATGATTGAGAGATTTACCATCCTACATACCTATTTTCAATCATCATTTGTATTCTTTTGTTACAAAGTATTCTTTGTAATACTCAAATTATATCTATGTCTTATATGAGTGTTATATATTAAATACGTACATGTCATGCTTGTGTTTATATTAATAAGTTTTTTGTTTGCAAAATTAATATTGCTAAGTGTTATGTGTGAATAGTGAATTCATGGATAAGTGAAGGATTTAAAAAATATAGTTTAATTAAATTGCCATATACATGTATAACTTATGATTTAAAATTTAATTATTTTCCTAAGAATGAATTAATCTACAAAATAATATCTTAATTAGGTGTTCCACTTGAATTGAAATGTCTAAATGTAAAATACCTACCTTAGGACATGTATTTTATTAAGGTTATTTTGGTCCAAAAGTTTTAGCTAAGAAAGGAAAATAAAGAGGGAAAAGTTGCTTAGTGTTTCATTTGCCTCTATACCTTTTGAGAGAGACATGAACACTAAGAGAAAAAGAGAGAAAGAGAGACTTAAACACTTTAGAGAAGCCTGGATTAATAAGAGAGGAAGCAAGGGAAGAAGCTGAAATTTCCAAGAGAAGTTGATGAGTGCATAGTTATCATTTTTTTTTATGCTATATTACATTGAAATTTCTAGTGTTTTTTTTTACTATATTTGAAAAATTAAGATAAAGATAATGATTTTGGGTTTTATAGGAAAAACATCATATTGAAGCAAGAAACCCAAACCAAAAGCAAAGAGAAGGAAAAAGCCACCAAAGAAGCTTAAGGAGACACGTGGCTATGTGTGATATAAGAAATTATAGCTATTGGCCATGTGAAACAAAGACGAAAATCGTATAGATGTCCAACTTGATTAACTTAGACCTTCTAGAATTCTTATATGTTTTCCAAAGCCTTAGAATTAGATTTGAAAGAAGTGGTCTTCAAAGACTTTATAGAGAACATATCAATATTTTTAGAATGATAAGGTGGGTCAAAAACCAAGTTTGTTTGGGCTTCCAAATGATATTTCATGTTTTAGTTTAGAAAACTAATCTGAATCCCATTTGGAATCCATATTAGTTGTGAAGTTTAATTCATATATAGTGTTTTAGAACTCTAATTAATACAAGACCAAGCCCATGGAATACTTAAAAGGCATACCAATAAGTCTTATGAAGGTATTGGGTCCAAAATAGGTCGTTATCATAAAGGAATTCAATTGCAAAGTAGAATCCTTTGGTCGGGTAGATAGGTCAATTTGGTTTTAGTATTTGGCTCATAATTGCATCTGTAAATATGCCA